GGGAAGGGGTCAGGGAAGGGGCCAGGGGGAGGAGCCAGGAGAGGAGCCAGGGGGCCAGGGGAGGAGGATAGTAGTCCGGGATGAACTGGAGAGCCGGGCAGGGGCCAGGTCCTGGAGGGTCCTGTAAGCCTCCCTGAGGAGTCCGGGCTTCATTCTAGGGAATCGGAAGCCCCTGCCCGGGCTGGTGGTGGGGAGCGACAGAGCTTCACGGGGCCCCAGGAGGAGCGCCGAAGCTGACAAGTGAGAAATGAATAGAATGGGGGGCCAGTGAGGGCATAATGGAGAAGAAGCGGCCAGTGCTCTTTTCCCCAAGCCTCAAGATCTCAGCCCAGGAGCCGAACAATGAGGGGAGGGAGGACTGTGAGCACAGAGTCCTTTGGAAACCTGCCAGGATCTCCATCTCCCCTGTAAAAGGCCTTTCTTGACTCTGGTTATCCTTAGCTATCTGCTCATAGTTAGGGGCTGGGGTTAAAATGCTGAGTGAAAGTTTCACTGCGTGAGGGCAAAGTTGGCCAACTGGTGTGACCTAACTCCCGGAAGAGTGCCCACCACACACACATGCTTTGATAGAATTGCATGCTCTGGGAGATCAGGGTCCCGCCTATATTCTTAGCCACCCAGACTCCCTGCATCTATAACACTGGATGTTCAGTAAATACTTGATGTTATTATTAAACTTTTCTGAGCCTCAGTTTTCTCACCTGAAAATTGGGCATGAAAATATTTATCTGGCAGGTGCTGTGAGTAGTAGTATAAGTAAAGCACCTGGCACAATACTTAGTTTTAACGGATTAGATATAAATAGTGAGTAGCAATCAGTATCATCACTATCATTTCTAGAGATGACAGTGGGGCAGCTGCTTCATGACCATTTGTGGTCACTACTGGCCACACTAAATATAGAGGCAAAGCACAGTGTACCTGTTGAGAGGCTAGTTATTATAGCACAAACCCACAAAGCAAGGAGAGGACTCAAGATAACAGCCCTTGACATTCAATGTGTAGAAAATCCAAGGACACTGGCTTCAAGGTGATTGAGTAGCGAGGCTGCATCACCAAATAGCTCTGGCGGAAGGCCATCCACGTGGAATGCTCTTCATTGCTCTGTTCAGTAAAGGCAGCCAAAGAGGTTAAAGGATGGGCCAAGCCTTCCCCCAAACTTGGACACTACCCAGGGAGCAGGCAGGCTAATGGGTTGTTTCTTTTGGACCATAGTTTTTAAATTTAAAAGGAATGAATGTCTATAGGTGTCTTTTAAAAAAAATCAAACAGTATAAGAGGGTATAAATAGAAAAGTCAGCATTCCTATCACCCTCAAATCATCAGGCAGATCTCCCAGAGATAATCAGTTATTTCTTAGTAATACTTTTATGCATATACAAGAATATATGCTTATTTTTTTACAGATGGGAATATAAAAAACTGTTCTGAACCTTGCTTTTCCCCCCACTTTATTTATCCTGAATACCTTTGCATATCAACATATGTAGTTTTACCTACTTATTTTTAACACCTGCTCTATTAAGATAAGCCACCAGATCTGGATGGCTTAACATAATTGAAGTTTATTTCTCATTTACCTAAATCCAGTTGGTGGTAGGGAGTGTTTTGGGAGGTGGGAGGTATCCTGATCCTAGCATTTATTCAGGGATCCAGGATGCCAAGGCCACTTCCACATGTGACTTCCACATACTTGGTGGCTTCTAAGGTCACCCTGGATATCAATATCCAGCTAGCATATGGGGACAGAGGGTGGAGGAAGGTGAGGGTTGTTTTAAATGAGCCAGGCCTAGAAGTGACATATATCACTTCTGCCCACATTCCACTGGCCAGAATTAGACTCCCTGCCCTAGACTGGTACTAGAGAATGTCCCAGCTGGGCAGCTGCTTCTGACAGCTCCACACTATGGCAGGGAAGCACAAGCCTTTGATGGGCACTTAGCTACACCCGCCGCAGATGCACTGTAGGAATACATTCTCAGTCACTTAAGCTTTAGGCGGCTGGCTTTCCTGCTTTTTTTCTGCTTTTCTATTTGTCTTTTGTCAAAGGAAATTTTTAAAAATCTTTTAAAACTATATCTTTATTAGTCCTTTGTTATAAAAGTAAAAATACTCTTTGTAATGCAGGTTTTATTGAGACACAGTATGGGGCAGAGAATAAGGATAGGGGAAAACAATATAGATTTACCTCATTCAAATAAGAGCAACACAGTATTCCACAGATGAATTGTCATTTAGTCAACCATTCCCCTATTAATGGACAGTCAGGTGTGTTCCAGTTTTTTGATTCCTGGGTTGACGCTCAACCACTGAACCACACCAGTGGGCTGTTCCAGTTTTTTTGTTATTACAACCAATAGTGAAATTTCCAAGTCAACATGTAGGGATGTGATGTGTATTTGTGTTTTGTTGTGTGTTTTTTTAATTTTTATTGAATTTATTGGAGTGACATTGGTTAATAAATTATATGTTTCAGGTGTTAAAGACAAATTTTTAAAGTGTGGAAAACTATTACCTGGTAAGAACGAAGAAGAAAAAGGACACCTGTAGAGTATGTACACTGGTCAGACTTGGTGGCGGTAGGAGGAGACACTATCAATGAAAAGCCCGATGAGGATACATGTCTTTGACCCAGAAACACTTGTAAGGATGTCTCTTAAAGAAATGAGTGGATTACTGCTCACATTGTACTTACGAGGATATTTATAATAGGACACACTGTAAGCAACCTAGATACCCAATGATAGAGACCTATCTAAACTACGGTGCATCCATATGGACTCTGCAGATGTTTAGAATTGTGTAGATACCTGCAAACATAAAAATATGTCCATAGGTTATGATAAAACATAATACTCCTAAACAGTATAAATAATTTTTTAAAAACATTGATTACTTGTACCAAAAAGGCTGTAGGAAATATATTAAATTGTTTACAGTATTTACCCTTAAGTAGCAGGACTATGGGTGTTTTCCACTTTCCACTTTGTCTCACTGTTCTATCATTAGAAAAAACAGTGAAACTATTTTCAGCTTGAAACAAACAAATTTTAAAAATGTAGATAAAGGAGATTGGGGTTTAAGGGATTGAAAGCAAGTATGAGAGCCAGACCTGGCCTCCTGGACCTTGCCTGTCTATTGGGCCTGTCAGCCGACACTCAGGTTGCTATCAAAAGCACTTTTCTCTGTTGAAGTGACTGGCTGTTGTCGCGCCCTCCCCAGGTTATAACGGGAGGGGAGGAAAGGCCCCAGAGCAGTCGGCAGCAGCCCCATCGGTGGTGGGCTGGGCTGCCATGCTCCAGCCTCTGCATGGGGAACGCCATCAGGGCCCTCGCGGCCTTCATCCCTGCTGACCGCTGCCAGAACTTCGTGGTCAGAGACCTCCAGGAGATGCCGCTGGACAAGATGGTGGATCTGAGTGGGAGCCAGCTCCGCCGCCTCCCTGTGCACGTGTGCTCCTTCCGGGAGCTGGTCAAGCTCTACCTAAGTGACAACCACCTCAGCAGCCTGCCTCTGGAGCTGGGGCAGCTGCAGAATCTGCAGATCCTGGCCTTGGATTTCAACAACTTCAAGGCTCTGCCCCAGGTGGTGTGTACTCTGAAACAGCTCTGCATCCTCTACCTGGGCAACAACAAACTCTATGATCTCCCCGATGAACTGAGGCTGCTCCAGAATCTCCGGACCCTGTGGGTCGAGGCGAACTGCCTCACCCAGCTGCCAGATGTGGTCTGTGAGCTCAGCCTCCTTAAGACTCTGCATGCCGGCTCCAATGCCCTGCGTCTGCTACCAGGCCAGCTCCGGCGCCTCCGGGAGCTGAGGACCATCTGGCTCTCAGGCAACCAGCTGACCGACTTCCCCCCTGTGCTGCTTCACATGCCCTTCCTGGAGGTGATCGATGTGGACCGGAACAGCATCCGCTACTTCCCCAGCCTGGCCCACCTGTCAAGTCTGAAGCTGGTCATCTATGACCACAATCCTTGCAGGAACGCACCCAAGGTGGCCAAAGGCGTGCGCCGCGTGGGAAGATGGGCAGAGGAGACACCAGAGCCTGACCGCAGAAAAGCCAGGCGATATGCTTTGGTCGAGGAAAGCCAGGAGGCACAGGCACCTGCCCTGCCTCCTCAGCTTCCTCCTACCAGCTCCTGAGGCGGTAGGTCAATGCCAAGAACCCAGCATCTTCTGGAGACCTCTCTAGTAGAGTGCAAGATTGCTCTGGAACATTTGGGGTATATCTGCCAGCAGGGGTTGATGAGTCAGATGAAATCCCTAAATCACACCAAGAAAAAATTTCTGGCAAATACCTCTCCCAGAGAAGTTGTATGCTAGACAGCATGATGACTTCCTTGCCAAAAAAAGTCTCTCCAAGCAGGTATTTTGAAACAGTAAAAAGCAAGAAGGGCTGGGATACTGTGGCCTCCTCCACTTTCCAGAAGTAGCTGGTCATGAGGCTTGTGAGCTCCTCAAATAAGGTATTTGTTATAGAACTCACCTAAAAGGATTATCTCCGGCCCTTTGCATGATGTATTTTCTTACTATGAGAGACCATTAATGGTATGAAAATACTACTAATTCAGGCCACTTTAAAACAACATTTCTACCTAGTCAATCAGTCAGACTCACAGAAAGACCTTGTTGCAAAGGCTCAAGATGAAATCCTTTCCCTGTCTAGCGAAGGCTAAGACCCCTGATGGAGAATGCCTCCTGGTGTAGCCCAGCTGGCACCTTCAATTTGATAGTGCTTCATGCCGACTTAGTTCATTTTCCCTAAAAGGTTTGACCCAAGGGCTGCTCTCAACTGTCTGCTGTCACTGACAGTGCTATAGTCATCTAGAAAGTGGAACCTCTCTATTGGGCAATGTGGTCTCATTAAAATCAAGCCTAGCTGTAACCTTGGCTGACTGCAGAGCAGAGCCCTGCTGTTTATTCACATTACTGAGCCGGAGCTGAATTGAACCCCCTTCAATGGAGGGAAACCACAATTCCAGAATCCTACTGGGTTAAAGGCAGTAGGCAAGAAATCTGTTCACTTGAAACAAGCGCTTGGAAATCTGAATTGCAGGCTGTGTACAGAGGAAGCTCCTGCCTCTTTACCCTCAGCATCTCTGATTTGTTTTGATTTTTGTAGATAGGGTCCTTTTGATGATCAGTGTATAAATCTAGGAATTTTGGCCATTTTTTAATGTAAATTGTGATCTTCCCATAAACACATCATCTTTAAAGAAACTGCTGTCATTTCACTAATTTGAAACACAGGGAAGTTGTTCCATTGATATCTGTATAGAGACTTCAGTTTTATTCAGTAATGTACCTTAATTTTAATAATTCCTTGCTGTTGAACTAAAGCTCCTGAGTAAAATTTTCCTTTGCTACTTGAAAAAAAGCTGCTGTCAGTGGGTGATTTGATAACACAATCCTTTATGTAAAAAGAATTTGATAACAATCTTTTATTTAAACCTTTTCAGCAATCAAGGACACAAAGTATCCTAACTAAAATATACTAGTTAGCTTTTTGCTATAAAAGCATCTTTACCCAGCAAAGTTTTGTTCTCAAATGATATTACACAGCAGACTATTTTCATGTTTTCCTACTACAAATCTCTTGCTAAACCAGAGGAAGTTTCATATCACATAATCTTCCTATCACCACTTCCCAGTCTGTAGAGCATCTGCAACCTATTGATTAGGCTTTAATCATTAAATGTAATAGGCTGTCAAACATTTAACTCCTTTAGTAATGAGCCCAGATTTCTGCTAGACAACTAGGATTTATAGATTATTTTCTCATTCCTAATGACTGAAACTAAACTATACTCAGTACATGCTAGAAAGTTTCTGCCAACAGCCAGCATTATGATGGTTTTGACTCCCTACCAGAGATCCAACTTGCAACCTAGGAATGTGCCCTGACTGGGAATCAAACCCACAACCTTTTGGTATAAAGGACTACACTCCTTTTTTGTTCTTTTTTTGGGGGGGGGGCTTTGAGTTTCTTTTGAGCCTGTCTTCCCCGTCCCAAGATTAATGGGCCCACCTTTTCCAGTGTAGCTGCAGCCTAAAGCCCAAAACAGTGAAGCCATAGGACCTATTCGGAGTTCTCACAGTGAGTTAACAAGTCTGAATCAAAGGTCAAATTATAAATATTTGGCACACAGTCAAGGTGTTCTTCTAAAATAATAACAATAAACCTTTCTCAAACAGTATAGTTAAGAATTTACCACTGATTTTGCTGTCCAAAATCTTTGCACTATAGGGTTTCAATTAATTTTAAACAGTAATTATGTAAACGCATATTTCCATTTCCATTACCCTCTGATGTTTTCTTGAAATTCCGACACAACAGAAAGTTAAAAAGGGGAAAATGTTGAAGCACCAAATGTAACTTTACTTATGATTTTAAAAGCTCTGGAACTTAAAGTGTTACACATCAGAGAAAAACTACTTCCAGAAGTTTGTGTAGAATTTTAGCTTCCATAAGTATGAACTATGCCAACTAAAATCATTAACATGCATTCTTATATAAATAAACCAAGATTTTTCTTTTGTTCTAAAATGCAACATTACCGTAATTTCACACTTAAAAAGTGGGCTTGTGCCCTAAAAATCAACTAGACTCAAATTGTAACTAAAAGTGCAGTGCAGTATGAGGATTAAGAACATGGCCTTCAAACTACCTGAGTTCAATTCCCAGGTTTGCCATTTATTTATTGGTCAGTTACCATCTGTGTACCTGTTTCCTCATCAGAAAAATGGTTAAGTTTCTACCTCTCAGGGTACTACAAGGATTAAACAAATTGCTGTGTATAAAGTGCACAGAACAATGCCTGGCAGGTGACAGTTCATGTTTGCATACCATGTGTTTTTAGTTATGCCATGCAGCACAATACTTTATTTACCCTACATCGGTATAATTCCTCGCTTGGGAAAAAAACACAAATGCAACCAAAAAAGCCTTTTCTTTTTCAATAATATTTTCGACAGTATCTATAGTCTTGAGTATGAGAAATATAACTGCCATGTGATCAAATGCTTCTGGCTTACCTAAACAGAAAAGCACAAACATTATTACCAAAGATTTCACTTTTTAGTTTCTAAATGAATATTCTTTGCCCTTTCCCTGTTATTCTAGAATCAGCAAAATCACCAAAGTAGAGTAAGTCCTCACTTAATGTTGTTGATAGGAAGCAAAAGGACATATAACAAAACCAATTTTATCATAGGCTAGTATAAACAGGAGTTAAGTCTCTAAGGCATCCAATCAACGTCCTAACGAACCGATGTTGAAAAGAGCATTATGAGGAACTGCCACACTTGAAAACGCAAGGCCATTCCTTGGCACTAAACCCTGTGTGTCTTGAGGAGCAGGAGGCATGAGACTAAAGACATAGGTGTGTATCTGCTACACACTTGACTCTCTGGCTTTCATCACTGTAAAAAAAAATAATAATAATGCATACACCTTATAGTTGCACTATATAAGAGATACTAATACTATTTTTAAAAAACAACTAAGTTTATGTTTTTCCCTTCTGGACTTCCGGAGAACAGGAAGATATTTATCTTTGAATCCCCAGTGCCTAGTCCAATTCTACCAAGTTACCTGAATTTTGGAGATTCTATCATGCACCCAGCCCACAGGCATACTATCCTCAGGGTCTTGTGTAAGTCAATTCATATAACCTCTTCAATACCCATATGTACTGTACAGCTCACAATTTAAAAATGAAGTTGTGAAATCAGGTTTGCTTTATTCTTCATATTGAGAACCTGAAATGTTCTATAGCAATTCTAATTTTAAAAAGGTCAAGTCCTGCCTGGCTGGCATGGCTCAGCAGTTGAACATCAACCTATGATCCAGGAGATCGTGGTTCAATTCCCGGTTAGGCACATGCCCAGGGTTTAGGGCTCGATCCCTAGTAGAGGGCATGCAGGAGGCAGCCAATCAATGACTCTCATCATTGATGTTTCTCTCTCTCCCTTCCTCTCTCTGAAATCAGTAAAGATATATATTTTTTAAAAAAAGGTTAAGTCCTGCCCTAGCCAGTTTGCCTCAGCGGTTAGTGTCAGCCTGCAGACTGAAACATCCCAGGTTCAGTTCTGGCCAAGGGCATGTACCTGGGTTGCAGGCTTGATCCCTGGCCCTGGCTGGGGGTGTGCTGCAGGCAACCAATCAATGTGTCTCTCTCACATAAATGTTTCTTTCCCCCTCCCTCCCTTCCACTCTCTCTGAAAAAGCAATGGATTTATACTCGCTTTCCCCTCCCTGTAAACTGTTGCTTAAATAAAAAACAAAACTGAATAAAATTTTAAAAAAGCAATGGAAAACATATTCTCAGTGAGGATTTAAAAAAAAAAAAAAGGTTAAGTCCTCTTTACATTTCTGTTCTATGGATGTTCTAATACACTGGAGTAGGTACAAGACAAGGCAGATTTTAGAACAGAATTCTGTACAAAGAGTATCCTGCTGACTTTTACCAGCCAGGGTCCTGGCAAGAAAATTCATTCGCCCTCATATGGTTTACATGGGGACACTCTTAACATAGGAACTATTAGTAGACATGATTAAGGGGTGGGGGAAAGACCAATACTGAGGTGGTAATACTGATGCACAGAAACAAGAGCAGCAGCAGCAGCTGTCATTATCTGTACGGCTAACTGAAAAGGGAACAGAAATGTTATCTGAATCTAGTAAGAGCTGAGAGCCAAAAAGAGGGTCGACCCCAGGAAGCAACAATATTGATAGGTGTCTCACAGGGTTGCAGCCACTTCCACAGAATAAAAACAGGGAAAAAATAGTGATTCCTTCTCCCCATATCCTCCCAGTGTCTCCCGAGTTAAGCCACAGGAAACCAGTCCACAGAGAGTTGTGAAGCAGTCATCAAGGGGAAGCCCCATGGCATCCAAGCAGGCAAAGAATGGACCCTGGCTTGAGGAGAGCTAAGAGTAACCAGCACACATATTCTCCTTAAAAAAAACAACCAAAAAACCCTGAAGGCTACTAGGATACATTTAAAAACCCTGAGGAGCATTTAGACAATTTTCTATGCAGTGACTATTAATGTATATTCCAAATCTCTATTTCCATGTCACAAAAGTCTTGTGAAAATAGAGAACACTACTTCCTTATTTTCTGTTTCTGAGTTAACAGAAACTCCATTATAAAACTCATAGAAATTAGAGGGGCATAGGTTAGAACTTTACCTCTGAAACGGAAAAGATTTTAAAATCTCTTAACTTGGAATATTCTAGGGCCATGACAATAAAACCTGTAAGG